ACCGGAAAACGATTCATCTGCGACTGTTCGGGATTTATTGGCCAGATCTGTGAGCAGGGTAAAACAGTTTTGATCAATAATGCAACTAAAGTTTCAAATTCTGTGAGCTATCTTTTCCATGCTGCAACTTAATCGAGTCTTAAATCAATCGAAAGGTTCCCTTCCTTTCTGGAATCTCCCTGATAGACGAGCAGAGGACTGATAATTACGTATAATTAAATTATTACTCTTAACGGACTATTTAACCTTACTCATTCATATACCAATTTGAAATGCGGTTCACGTTTAGAGTGTCAGGGCGCCCTTGGCATGGAGAGCCGTGCAATAACTGACGGACAAATAAGCGCCTCTACTATATGGAGTTCCCGTCATTTTCTTTCTAACGCCAGACTTCACAATCAAGTAAGCGCAAATAGCGGCGGGGTTTGGGAACCATCAAAGAAAGATGCTAATCAGTGGCTTTAGATCGAGACTTTTGTTTTAACAAGACTTCCAAGTCGAATCAAAAGAACATCATGGTATCTTTTCGAAACTTTAGGTTCTTCAGTAAATGAATGTATCTAAAAAGAATGTATTTTACCCCGCCATTACTTCAGCTAAAGCCTCACATGCAATTTCAAGGTTACACCTTGAGTTCTACACACCAACTGTATATTGACAATAACGATTTCGACTCGTTCGACGTTTAGATTGTCACCGCGCCCTCGGTATGGAAAGCCGTGCAATCCTTGACGGTCAAATTAGTGCCTCGTCACAGTATAGTATATACCACGCTGCTGTTTACGCCAGACTCCACAATAAAGCGGTTCAAAATGTACGCGAAGAGGCCTGGGAACCATTAACATCAGATGCAAATCAGTGGCTCCAGATTGATTTGGTCACGCAACACGGCGTGACTCGCGTGGCAACTCAAGGAAGATACAGGATTAATCACTGGGTGACAAAATATAATCTGCTGTACAGTAGCGACGGGTCGACCTTCCAGTACTACAAAGAGCGAGGAGAAAGTATAACGGTTAGTCATTGTGCTTAATGGTCTTTACATGAGGTTGGTTTTGAAAATCTATTTAAATACTTTGGAATGGGTGGTTATTATACATCCGGCAGCCGTGGGCAATATGAAAAGACTCGTGTCGTTCTTTTTTGCGTTTTGATGGACTTCGACTTTGTCTCGGTCCATAAAAATGCCCAAAAAAACAGGAGCTCGGCCAATACCAAGCCATGTTGACCTCAGACCTGGTCAATAACGTATATATGTTGTTTAAAGGAATTATCTGGAAACACAGATGGTACCACTGTGGTGTCCCATGACCTTACTCCACCAATCGCAGCACGTTACATTCGTTTTCGACCAATAGCTTGGCACAAGGTGATAGCCATGAGAGTGGAGCTGTATGGTTGCCAGGGTATGTTAGAGTCTTTAAAGGCCGCGATATTCTGTAACTTTTTCCTAAATTTTCTTATGAAAATAGTGATGCTCGTTTATATTATGTGACAGGCTCGTGACAAGCTAACCTAGCAGCCTCGCCTTATGCTAATTAGCTAGCGGATTTTGTTAGTGCACAAGTGAGAACGTTTTGTTATTAAGACCTGATTTTCGGAGACATTTTACAGTGAGTTACTTGGTGTTACAGAAACATTTTCCACAGTGCTATGTCGCAAACCTTTAATTATGCTTTTGTTTCGTAACAGGTATCTAAAGCAACAAGAGAGGATTGCCAAACCAGGAACGGAAAATAAAGATCCGAAGTAGATGAAGTAGATAGTTTATTCTGATTAAAATCGCAGCCAAAAGCTGAATTGGATTAATCGTTACAATAGTAAAATCTGATAAAAGTATGAGAAAAGTATAAGAAAAATGTACACAGATTAACTACAGTTACTATATATGAATGTATTCATGAGTCTCTTTATGATCTCTTCTGAGTATGCGGTCAATCTTGCACAATGGATCTCAATTGTTAACGATTGATTCATGCGTCAGTTTGCGTTTATTGATATATGAAGCACATGGTGAGATTTAAGAAAGATAAAAGATTGCTTGGTGAATTTGTTACGAAGACGGCTTCAAGAAAAACAAGAGTGAATTTCTAAGCGAGGGGAAGAAACTTATGTCTCTCATGGTGGATACTGTTGATCTAACACTATAAAAATCACCAATTCACAGCCGTTTCACCAGTAAACTTTTGTTCATTGAGATATGAAGCACACTAGAAGATTTAAAGAAAGATGAAAGATTGCTCGAGATTTAAAGAAAGATGAAAGATTGCTCGAGATGTGGCCGAAAACAACTTAGCTTGAGTTTTGAAAGCATGAAAGAGAGCATCTAAAGCTACTCGAGTGCTGTTTAAATTTACTGCATGCCTCAGTCACATCTTGCCTGCTGTGCAGGCGTCTAATTAGTGTGAGCGAACGTTGTAAGCTTTGATCTGGAGTTAGAGTGGACGGTGGAGGTAGGGGGTAATCTTCAGTTCCCCACCCCTACCCCTCTCCTTATTTATGACCAACGACAGCCCCGTTAGTACAAATTTCTTTCCCTTCCCAGCCTTCCGCTGCCATTAAAATCAAAGATGGCGCCCATAATTTTTAAGAAAATACTAAGCACTCGCTCGCCAAAATTACGTAATTACGTAATAACTAGTGCTGTAGTAAAACACCTAGCTTAAATAAAATTGTCCATTAATAGAGTTTCATCGCCAAAAGAAATAACACTAAACTGCTGTATTTAAGAAAATAATTCTCGTTGAAATGCAATACCACCGGGCTTTAACTTGCCCGAACAACAACATAACCTAATGCAAAACTGACTTAGAGAATATTTGAGGACCTCTCCTCGCTCTCTTTCATCGTGTTAAAATGGGAAATCATTCAAAGACTTATCAGTTCTAAGCTGAAAAGTTGTAATCATAAAATTCATGACTTTTTTAAGCCAAGAGTTATTCATTTAGCATGTGCTAACCGTTTTATTCATTTTCCCCAAGTAGTGACTGGAAAGGCGGGTGGGATAGTAGTGTGTTGTGTGTAATTTGAGTCATGGTAGGTATAGTAATAAAAGATATACATTGTAGACGGGGTGTGATGCGGTATAAATTATTATAAAATAATTCATATATTACGCGCGCTTTGATTGGCCATAAAACCATTTTACATGAGGGTATGTAAACGCGGTTTACGTTCCTCTTTCATTAGTTATTTTATAAAGAAATGTAAAATGGCTTCCGTGTTTACATAGCCTGATGTAAACACTTGGGTGATGTAAACACACTCGATAAGCTGTAAACCACTCCTCTTCGCGTCGTGGTTTCCTACGCTTATCTCGTGTTCTCCCAACCTCCCGCGTGTTTACATCAGGCTATGTAAACACGGAAACCATTTTACATTTCTTCAATGTGACATGACCTGTGAAAATACGAAATAAGAACCCCGTTAACTGTGACTTCCTTGCTTTTCGCGATACGTGAACCTTAGAGTTATTAATCCAATTTCTCGTGATGGGCTTTTTAAAAGATTAAATTAACCAGATTTAAAGACTTTGAGATAAAGGTAGGTCTTTACAGTTAGTTCTTATCTTAAAGCAGTATGTTTACAGAGATGAATCACACCTTGGATCTGAGTCTGAAATGAATGCATGCTTGAGTGAAAAGTCAAAACGTAGCTTGTAACATAACGTGCCTTCACTAATGTTATCTTTCGAACAGTATTCCCTAAGTGTTAAAAACACCCGTAGTAAGTTAGGCAACTTGGGTATAATAACTTATATAAAAAGAGAAAGTAAAGAAGACTCGATCGCTCGGAGAGGGGCAGGTGTTTTAACTTAGTGGCAAGTTCAGCAAATTTATTGTTCTCGCGCTCTCGAAAATGTGTTTATTTAGTTTAGGTGCATAGTTTAAAATTGTGACTAAATTTCAAATGACATAATTTTAATTTTGTGAAACTAAACATAATCCATGAATTTTTTTTATAACTGAACTGAGACCGAGCCAGAAGAAAAAGCTATCCTGTGACGCTAACCAGCTTGAAATGTAAGTAGAACAGGATATTGGTAATTTTACAGTAAATGGAGAAAAAGCAGATCTGACAGATATCCCTTCAATATAACTAAGAGAAGCTTCGGCTGTCGTTTGTTTCATTGGCTTGACTTTTCACTGATTTTTCCAGAAGCTTATGACTTTTAATGACTTGTAACTCATTAGTGAGAAAAATTAACCTGAGGGCTGAAGCCGGAGACAAAGAGAACCCCCCCAAAAGAGAGCTGAGTTCAATGAGTACATCGCAACAGGCAACGGGAATCTGAGTAAATGGTATTATGAAACGTTTCTCAGTCTGAAAGCCTCGGCGGTTCTCTCAGTTCGACGTCCTCCATGACAGCTGGGGTGAAAATAATTCAATATAACATATTTCCTTTTTAAAAAAATACCGCGTTTAGGTTCAGAGTCCCTAGATCGATTTTCTGTGATTATCGAGCACACCCAGCCAGCTTTGAAATCTTCTGAACGGATGTCCTTTGAAATATTCAAATCAACATTTTCTCCTTAACCCTTTAACTCCCAAGATCTGATTACTAATTCTCCCATCTAGCTGTTACACATTTCCTTGCAATTTAGTGACAAGAATTCGGTGTTATATATCATGATAATAACCTCTAACTGATAACTTTTAGTAATCTCATTACCTGTTTGTTGATTGGTGTATGGATATTGTTGGGAGAAGTTACATGGAAATCACTTGTGGGAGTAAAAAAGTTAACTGATAGATTCCATGGTTCCGTGGGTCCGTTCAGTCATAGAACACGGATGACGTTAAAATATTATTATTAAAGATTACCCATTGAAGTAAATTTAAATGAAATTGTATCACATCTCAGGGAAATTCGGCCTACCTGCCTTTGCCACAGCATAATTCCATTGCTCATAACCGCTGGATTCATATTTCCATTCACCACGGGCTCCTGCAGCGACGACAAGTGTCCCGTCTCATTCCACTTCATTATTGGAAGGAACATGGTGGATGGGCACGCCCTAGTTGGTCACGTGTTTGCCAATGTCTCAGTGACCAAAGTGATGGACTGTTACAGAGCATGCCAACCAAACTGCCGTTGTATCTCCTTCAACTTTTTGAAATATTCCAACCGGGATAAATGTCAACTGAATGAAGAAAACCGACACCTAAAGCCCGGTGCCTTGATGGCAAAGGAAGACTCTCAGTACTACGATCTGGTTGTTCGCTACAACATTGCGGTGAGAAATGATGTTTAGCCGGCATGAATAACTTCTTTTCAAAATATGAGAATATTTTCAAAAGTTTCCAGTCAGGATTTTGTTCTTATTAAAATTCTCAGTCATACCATAAATCAGGTTCGTATATGACAAGCTTATACTGTATATGAATTATCAGAGAGAGTCTTATTCTGCCAATCCATGCTAAAAAATCATATCAACTGATTTGTTGTCTCAGAGCAATTCTGCAGTTTCAGCATCGTCTGGATGCACTCAGTGTTCCAACAGTTGTTGCAAAGATCAACCGTGTCTCAATGGAGGAACATGTCGAGAAAACTGTCAGGAGACCGGAAAACGATTCATCTGCGACTGTTCGGGATTTATTGGCCAGATCTGTGAGCAGGGTAAAACAGTTTTGATCAATAATGCAACTAAAGTTTCAAATTCTGTGAGCTATCTTTTCCATGCTGCAACTTAATCGAGTCTTAAATCAATTCAAAGGTTCCCTTCCTTTCTGGAATCTCCCTGATAGACGAGCAGAGGACTGATAATTACGTATAATTAAATTATTACTCTTAACGGACTATTTAACCTTACTCATTCATATACCAATTTGAAATGCGGTTCACGTTTAGAGTGTCAGGGCGCCCTGGGCATGGAGAGCCGTGCAATAACTGACGGACAAATAAGCGCCTCTACCAGATATAGTTCCCGTCATGTTGCTTCTAACGCCAGACTTCACAATCAAGCAAGCGCAAATAGCGGCGGGGTTTGGGAACCATCAAAGAAAGATGCTAATCAGTGGCTTTAGATCGAGACTTTTGTTTTAACAAGCCTTCCAAGTTGAATTAAAAGAACATCATGGTATCTTTTCGAAACTTTAGGTTCTTCAGTAAATGAATGTATCTAAAAAGAATGTATTTTACCCCGCCATTACTTCAGCTAAAGCCTCACATGCAATTTCAAGGTTACACCTTGAGTTCTACACACCAACTGTATATTGACAATAACGATTTCGACTCGTTTGACGTTTAGATTGTCACCGCGCCCTCGGTATGGAAAGCCGTGCAATCCTTGACGGTCAAATTAGTGCCTGGTCACAGTATAGTATACACCACGCCGCTGTTTACGCCAGACTCCACAATAAAGCAGTTCAAAATGTACACGAAGAGGCCTGGGAACCATCAACATCAGACGCAAATCAGTGGCTCCAGATTGATTTGGTCACGCAACACGGCGTGACTCGCGTGGCAACTCAAGGAAGATACAGGATTAATCACTGGGTGACAAAATATAATCTGCTGTACAGTAGCGACGGGTCGACCTTCCAGTACTACAAAGAGCGAGGAGAAAGTATAACGGTTAGTCATTGTGCTTAATGGTCTTTACATGAAATTGGTTTTGAAAATATATTTAAATACTTTGGAATGGGTGGTTATTATACATCCGGCAGCCGTGGGCAATAAGAAAAGACTCGTGTCGTTCTTTTTTGCGTTTTGATGGACTTCGACTTTGTCTCGGTCCATAAAAATGCCCAAAAAAACAGGAGCGCGGCCAATACCAAGCCATGTTGACCTCAGACCTGGTCAATAACGTATATATGTTGTTTAAAGGAATTATCTGGAAACACAGATGGTACCACTGTGGTGTCCCATGACCTTACTCCACCAATCGCAGCACGTTACATTCGTTTTCGACCAATAGCTTGGCACTGGGTGATAGCCATGAGAGTGGAGCTGTATGGTTGCCAGGGTATGTTAGAGTCTTTAAAGGCCGCGATATTCTGTAACTTTTTCCTAAATTTTCTTATGAAAATAGTGATGCTCGTTTATATTATGTGACAGGCTCGTGACAAGCTAACCTAGCAGCCTCGCCTTATGCAAATTAGCTAGCGGATTTTGTTAATGCGCAAGTGAGAACGTTTTGTTATTAAGACCTGATTTTCGGAGACATTTTACAGTGAGTTACTTGGTGTTACAGAAACATTTTCCACAGTGCTATGTCGCAAACCTTTAATTATGCTTTTGTTTCGTAACAGGTATCTAAAGCAACAAGAGAGGATTGCCAAACCAGGGACGGAAAATAAAGATCTGAAGTAGATGAAGTAGATAGTTTATTCTGATTAAAATCGCAGCCAAAAGCTGAATTGGATTAATCGTTACAATAGAGAGGTAACCACTAATAAAAGTAACAGATGTCTCGGTGTCTTTATTAATAAATGTACACAGATTAACCACAGTTACTATATATGAATGTATTCATGAGTCTCTTTATGATCTCTTCTGAGTATGCGGTCAATCTTGCACAATGGATCTCAATTGTTAACGATTGATTCATGCGTCAGTTTGCGTTTATTGATATATGAAGCACATGGTGAGATTTAAGAAAGATAAAAGATTGCTTGGTGAATTTGTTACGAAGACGGCTTCAAGAAAAACAAGAGTGAATTTCTAAGCGAGGGGAAGAAACTTATGTCTCTCATGGTGGATACTGTTGATCTAACACTATAAAAATCACCAATTCACAGCCGTTTCACAGTAAACTTTTGTTCATTGAGATATGAAGCACACTAGAAGATTTAAAGAAAGATGAAAGATTGCTCGAGGCGTGGCCGAAAACAACTTAGCTTGAGTTTTGAAAGCATGAAAGAGAGCATCTAAAGCTACTCGAGTGCTGTTTAAATTTACTGCATGCCTCAGTCACATCTTGCCTGCTGTGCAGGCGTCTAATTAGTGTGAGCGAACGTTGTAAGCTTTGATCTGGAGTTAGAGTGGACGGTGGAGGTAGGGGGTAATCTTCAGTTCCCCACCCCTACCCCTCTCCTTATTTATGACCAACGACAGCCCCGTTAGTACAAATTTCTTTCCCTTCCCAGCCTTCCGCTGCCATTAAAATCAAAGATGGCGCCCATAATTTTTAAGAAAATACTAAGCACTCGCTCGCCAAAATTACGTAAAGATTACGTTATTACGTAATAATTGGTACTGTAGTAAAACACCTAGCTTAAATAAAATTGTCCATTAATAGAGTTTCATCGCCAAAAGAAATAACACTAAACTGCTGTATTTAAGAAAATAATTCTCGTTGAAGTGCAATACCACCGGGCTTTAACTTGCCCGAACAACAACATAACCTAATGCAAAACTGACTTAGAGAATATTTGAGGACCTCTCCTCGCTCTCTTTCATCGTGTTAAAATGGGAAATCATTCAAAGACTTATCAGTTCTAAGCTGAAAAGTTGTAATCATAAAATTCATGACTTTTTTAAGCCAAGAGTTATTCATTTAACATGTGCTAACCGTTTTATTCATTTTCCCCAAGTAGTGACTGGAAAGGCGGGTGGGATAGTAGTGTGTTGTGTGTAATTTGAGTCATGGTAGGTATAGTAATAAAAGATATACATTGTAGACGGGGTGTGATGCGGTATAAATTATTATAAAATAATTCATATATTACGCGCGCTTTGATTGGCCATAAAACCATTTTACATGAGGGTATGTAAACGCGGTTTACGTTCCTCTTTCATTAGTTATTTTATAAAAGAAATGTAAAATGGCTTCCGTGTTTACATAGCCTGATGTAAACACTTGGGTGATGTAAACACACTCGATAAGCTGGAAACCACTCCGCTTCGCGTCGTGGTTTCCTACGCTTATCTCGTGTTCTCCCAACCTCCCGCGTGTTTACATCCGGCTATGTAAACACGGAAACCATTTTACATTTCTTCAATGTGACATGACCTGTGAAAATACGAAATAAGAACCCCGTTAACTGTGACTTCCTTGCTTTTCGCGATACGTGAACCTTAGAGTTATTAATCCAATTTCTCGTGATGGGCTTTTTAAAAGGGGCCATGACGAAAATGTTGAAAGAATGAAGCAAAAAAAAAGGGAGTTTTACTCACGCAAGCCTAATGGAGGAAAACAGAGTCAAAATTTTGTCTGTTTAATTATTAACCGGTACTCAACAGATAATCAATTATCTCAAGTTTTTCAAAGATTTCAAATTGCACTCGCCTTTCGGTCATTCTGAAATGTGTAAAAAAGTTTTGTCCTTACATTATATCACTTTATTGTTAAGCAGTAAATATCATATTTACAAATTTTAATTTGTAAAGGTAGATATCCTTAAAAGGATGATTTTACCTATTCATCATTGTTATTAAACGTGATACTTGGATTCAGTGGTTACCCGTTTATAAACCTGGTACGATGAAACGGTAAGTCAGTAAAAAGTGTGATTGTTGATAAGTACGCAAAATGTTTTCATTGAATTTAGTGATAAAATGTCCAATGAAACTTGATAAGCTCGAAAGTATACTTTTTAATCCTCACATTATTGTCGGCGTGCGACCATTATCATAATATTAAATTGTTTGCAAAGAATATGTTTCTTCAATATTTTCCTCCGTCGCCTTCACAATGGTGTAATAAAGACACCGAGACATCTGTTACATTTATTAGTGGTTACCTCTCTATAAATCTGGTACGATGAAACAAAATTGAAAAATTTGATAAGGGTTAGATTTCTCAAAAAAGGGAAAATAGAAAACCTTGAGATATTGATGAACGAAATGCATATGTCAATCATCGGCCAATAAATTATTCACCGTCTCATGCCGTTTAGGCATTCTGTGGAGCCATTAGGTTTGTTTGACCATGATGGTTATTGCAGTAACAGAAGATTTAGACCAAAGAATATAACAGTCACTCGACACGTTTTTGCAAATAAACACCAGTTTTAAAGACTTTGAGATAAAGGTAGGCCTTTACAGTTAGTTCTTATCTTAAAGCAGTATGTTTACAGAGATGAATCACACCTTGGATCTGAGTCTGAAATGAATGCATGCTTGAGTGAAAAGTCAAAACGTAGCTTGTAATGTAACGTGCCTTCACTAATGTTATCTTTCGAACAGTATTCCCTAAGTGTTAAAAACACCCGTAGTAAGTTAGGCAACTTGGGTATAATAACTTATATAAAAAGAGAAAGTAAAGAAGACTCGATCGCTCGGAGAGGGGCAGGTGTTTTAACTTAGTGGCAAGTTCAGCAAATTTATTGTTCTCGCGCTCTCGAAAATGTGTTTATTTAGTTTAGGTGCATAGTTTAAAATTGTGACAAAATTTCAAATGACATAATTGTAATTTTATGAAACTAAACATAATCCATGAATTTTTTTTATAACTGAACTGAGACCGAGCCAGAAGAAAAAGCTATCCTGTGACGCTAACCAGCTTGAAATGTAAGTAGAACAGGATATTGGTAATTTTACAGTAAATGGAGTAAAAGCAGATCTGACAGATATCCCTTCAATATAACTAAGATAAGCTTTGGCTGTCGTTTGTTTCATTGGCTTGACTTTTCACTGATTTTTCCAGACGCTTATGACTTTTAATGACTTGTAACTCATTAGTGAGAAAAATTAACCTGAGGGCTGAAGCCGGAGACAAAGAGAACCCCCCCAAAAAAGAGCTGAGTTCAATGAGTACATCGCAACAGGCAACGGGAATCTGAGTAAATGGTATTATGAAACGTTTCTCAGTCTGAAAGCCTCGGCGGTTTTCTCAGTTCGACGCCCTTCATGACAGCTGAGGTGAAAAAAATTCAATATAACATATTTCCTTTTAAAAAAAATACCGCGTTTAGGTTCAGAGTCCCTAGATCGATTTTCTGTGATTATCGAGCACACCCAGCCAGCTTTGAAATCTTCTGAACGGATGTCCTTTGAAATATTCAAATCAACATTTTCTCCTTAACCCTTTAACTCCCAAGATCTGATTACTAATTCTCCCATCCAGCTGTTACACATTTCCTTGCAATTTAGTGACAAGAATTCGGTGTTATATCCTGATAATAACCTCTAACTGATAAGTTTTAGTAATCTCATTACCTGTTTGTTGATTGGTGTATGAATATTGTAGAGAGAAGTTACATAGAAATCACTTCTGGAGGTTAAAAAGTTAACGGATAGATTCCATGGTTCCGTGGGTCCGTTCAGTCATAGAACACGGATGACGTTAAAATATTATTATTCAAGATGTTACCCATTGAAGTAAATTTAAATGAAATTGTATCACATCTCAGGGAAATTCGGCCTACCTGCCTTTGCCACAGCATAATTCCATTGCTCATAACCGCTGGATTCATATTTCCATTCACCACGGGCTCCTGCAGCGACGACAAGTGTCCCGTCTCATTCCACTTCATTATTGGAAGGAACATGGTGGATGGGCACGCCCTGCTTGGTCACGTGTTTGCCAATGTCTCAGTGACCAAAGTGATGGATTGTTACAGAGCATGCCAACCAAACTGCCGTTGTATCTCCTTCAACTTTTTGAAATATTCCAACCGGGATAACTGTCAACTGAATGAGGAAAACCGACACCTAAAGCCCGGTGCCTTGATGGCAAAGGAAGACTCTCAGTACTACGATCTGGTTGTTCGCTACAACATTGCGGTGAGAAATGATGTTTAGCCGGCATGAATAACTTCTTTTCAAAATATGAGAATATTTTCAAAAGTTTCCAGTCAGGATTTTGTTCTTATTAAAATTCTCAGTCATACCATAAATCAGGTTCGTATATGACAATCTTATACTGTATATGAATTATCAGAGAGAGTCTTATTCTGCTAATCCATGCTAAAAAATCAAATCAACTGATTTGTTGTCTCAGAGCAATTCTGCAGTTTCAGCATCGTCTGGATGCACTCAGTGTTCCAACAGTTGTTGCAAAGATCAACCGTGTCTCAATGGAGGAACATGTCGAGAAAACTGTCAGGAGACCGGAAAACGATTCATCTGCGACTGTTCGGGATTTATTGGCCAGATCTGTGAGCAGGGTAAAAAAATTTTGATCAATAATGCAACTACAGTCTCACATTCTGTGAGCTATCTTTTTCATGCTGCAAATTAATCGAGTCTTAGATCGATCGAAAGGTTCCCTTCCTTTCTGCAATCTCCCTGATAGACGAGCAGATGACTGATAATTACTTATAATTAAATGATGACTCTTAATGGACTATTTAACCTTACTCACTCATATACCAACTTGAAATGCGGTTCACGTTTAGAGTGTCAGGGCGCCCTTGGCATGGAGAGCCGTGCAATAACTGACGGACAAATAAGCGCCTCTACCAGATATAGTTCCCGTCATGTTGCTTCTAACGCCAGACTTCACAAGCAAGCAAGCGCAAATAGCGGCGGGGTTTGGGAAATAGCAGCGATCGAGGTTTTGTTAAAACTCCAATACAGGAACTTAACAAGACTTCCAAGTCGAATCAAAAGAACATCATGGTATCTTTTCGAAACTTTAGGTTCTTCAGTAAATGAATGTATCTAAAAAGAATGTATTTTACCCCGCCATTACTTCAGCTAAAGCCTCACATGCAATTTCAAGGTTACACCTTGAGTTCTACACACCAACTGTATATTGACAATAACGATTTCGACTCGTTCGACGTTTAGATTGTCACCGCGCCCTCGGTATGGAAAGCCGTGCAATCCTTGACGGTCAAATTAGTGCCTCGTCACAGTATAGTATATACCACGCTACTGTTTACGCCAGACTCCACAATAAAGCAGTTCAAAATGTACACCAAGAGGCCTGGGAACCATCAACATCAGACGCAAATCAGTGGCTCCAGATTGATTTGGTCACGCAACACGGCGTGACTGGTGTGGCAACTCAAGGAAGATACAAGGCTACTCACTGGGTGACAAAATATAATCTGCTGTACAGTAGCGACGGGTCGACCTTCCAGTACTACAAAGAGCAAGGAGAAAGTATAACGGTTAGTCATTGTGCTTGATGGTCTTTACATGAGGTTGGTTTTGAAAATCTATTTAAACACTTTGGAATGGGTGGTTATTATACATCCGGCAGCCGTGGGCAATATGAAAAGACTCGTGTCGTTCTTTTTTGCGTTTTGATGGACTTCGACTTTGTCTCGGTCCATAAAAATGCCCAAAAAAACAGGAGCTCGGCCAATATCAAGCCATGTTGACCTCAGACCTGGTCAATAACGTATATATGTTGTTTAAAGGAATTATCTGGAAACACAGATGGTACCACTGTGGTGTCCCATGACCTTACTCCACCAATCGCAGCACGTTACATTCGTTTTCGACCAATAGCTTGGCACAAGGTCATAGCCATGAGAGTGGAACTGTATGGTTGCCAGGGTATGTTAGAGTCTTTAAAGGCCGCAATATTCTGTAACTTTTTCCTAAATTTTCTTATGAAAATAGTGATGCTCGTTCATATTATGTGGCAGGCTCGTGACAAGCTAACCTAGCAGCCTCGCCTTATGCAAATTAGCTAGTGGATTTTGTTAGTGCGCAAGTGAGAACGTTTTGTTATTAAGACCTGATTTTCGGAGACATTTTACAGTGAGTTATTTGGTGTCATAGAAACGTTTTCCACAGTGCTGTGTAGCAAACCTTTAATTATGCTTTTGTTTCGTATTAGGAATCTAAAGCAACAAGAGAGGATTGCCAAACCAGGGACGGAAAATAAACATCTCTTTATGATCTCTTCTGAGTATGCTGTCAATCTTACATAATGGAACTCAACTGTTAACGAGTGGTTCATGCGTCAGTTTGCGTTAATTGATATATGAAGCACATGGTGAGATTTAAAGAAAGATAAAAGATTGCTTGGTGAATTTGTTACGAAGACGGCTTCAAGAAAATTGTCTGTTTAATTATTAACTGGTAGTCAGCAGGTGATCAATTATCTCAAGTTTTTCAAAGACTTCAAATTGCACTCGCCCTTCGGTCATAGTTCAATGTGTAAACAAGTGTTGTCGTTACATTATCTCACTTTATTGTTAGGCAGTAAATATCGAATTTACAAATCTTAATTTGTAAAGGAAGATATCCTTAAAAGGATGATTTTACCTATTCATCATTGTTATTAAGAGAGGTTGTCAGTAATTTTCGAGAATCCGGCGACAGAAGCAAAAATTCAACTTTTTTTTTATTTGCTCCAAAAGACCCTTTTAGTTAATCGTTTTCAAAAATAATATTCAAAAGTTCCAGCGAGTTTTAATTTTGAAAAAAAATACGAAAGTTTGAAATCGGCCAACACGTACCTAATTTGCATAATTTCTATTAGGCTTTCAGTTCATTTTCACAACGCTCGCACAAGACAACGAAAATGTATCTTGGATTCATTTTTTCATAAGTTGTTTTTCATCCCTTGGAGTAGCTTTGCAACTATATTTCATCTCCAACTGAACTTTCTTTCGTTTGTAGCCACTCGCGTAAAGTACACTATATTTTCTATTCCGTTTGTACGCTGTATTTTGCTATATTTCAGACGACCATAGCATCAAGGGTATACGAATGTACATAAAATAAAAGAGCTCTTTTCAACGAAAAATTCTTCGTGTTTATCATGTTAAAATATTATTTTTGGCCCGTGAAAAGCGAGCGCGCCAGACCAAAATATACAGCGTGCATTTTCACGGAGTTAGGCCATTTTTCTTGCTGTACCCCTACTGCAAATCGCACAATTTTGGGGACAAAACTCGACGTGTCTGGTCTCTACTTCAGTTTTGATTCATTTAAATATATCAATTTTAACTTAAAAAGTAACCTACCTTTATTGTTGAGTGAACAAACCACCGTTTTAGATAAAGTTTTTGAGTTGATTTTTCTCGAGTGCTAAATAAACAAATCGCTGTTTACAAAGATACCAGCTCTGTCGACGTGTTTTTAGCTGAAATCGGCCCGTCGCATATATTGTTCTTTAATTTACAATCTATCCCACTGGCATAACTTTGAAGTAAATTACATGTAACTAGAAATGTTGTTGTAAATACGTGAGCGTGATTTAAATAAAACCATCGCACACATAAAATATTCGAAACATGTAGTTGTCGCATGAAAATACTCGCTTAATTGTGCGTGAACCTTGTGTGTACATTCGGTGTTTTGCTCGGTTGCTTTTATAGAATTCTACTACTGTCACTGTAATTAAAAAAGTATGTTTGTGTAGTCCACCTCTTTAGATACATTTTCAAATCAACTGTAGGTTGGAATTCTGTTGGTAAAAATTGTCGAAGAAATCCGAGAAAAATGGCATGTAGCACCGGGCAGTCGTGCTACATTCCATCTCACCAATTTCAACGAAACTTTGCCAGGTTAAAGGATCTACCCCAAAACTAAAAAAGGCAACAGATTTCTGTCTTGGTTTTTTTCCGGGTGGATATAGACCACCCCTCCGGTTTTTCTTGATCCTTAGTTAATGTCCACCTCAAGTATCAGTCAATTTGATTGACGTCTTGTCAATCAATAGAGGCAAATAAACGACTGAGTTTTTAGACTTTTCGATTCATCCAAATAATTGACAACTTTGAAAAGTGAGATGCAAAGATCTTTATTATTTTTTTTAGCTTAATAGCAGCTGTACCCTCTCCTGCAGTCTTCGTCTAAATTTGCAAGGTCACTCCTCATCTTCTGCCTTGTTAGAGGCGATTGCCTTACTAGTTTCCTTCCCTGTCCAGCTCATGTCAAGGAGATAATTCTTTGCTTTCTGAGAAAAGGTGGCTGGTTTTTGTGTTTTCCAAAGAGCCCATGCAAAGTCCATTTGGCTAGTTAGGGATGTTTCGTTAGAAGTTTTCCTGAGGTCCGACCTTGAATGTAGCCACCCCCTTTAAAATGGCAAGCCGGTCTTCGTCCATTTTCTCTTGATCTTATCATAGGCGGATTTTTTTGTCAGCTTTTTTTGTTTGCCTTTGTTAGGGTGCTTTTGGATGGCAGCCAATGACTGAAACATCTTGATAAATCCTTCCTCTTAGCAAGAATATCTCGCTTTCTTGTTCTGTATGTGACGGATTGAATATAGTTCTCGCGATGACCCGCGTTCAGGGATCTGTGCACGTTGCTGATAACCACCCACTTCTACGATTAGTTTGCTGAAGGTTTCTAATGTGAAGAGCCCAGTTAGACCCTGAGGTGCTCCAAACTGTGCCAGTTGGTCTGGGCTATAAACTTGTCGCAGTTCTAAAGTCAGAGGGAGTATCGCCCACCTCTATTTATGTGAGCGTCTCTACAGTACCTGCGTATCCCTAGCAATCATATGATATAAAGTTCATTTCAGTCGCAAATCATTAGTTAGGAAAACTGATGTTCAGATAAGCGCTCTTCTTGCCCTTCTTCCTTATTCATTGCTGACTCTAAGATAGCAGTTACAGTACGCGTTCTATTAGGTTTATAGTCACTTTGCCACCAGGAAGACTCGCCACCAGCTTTGATTTCTTCTGTCATCTTCAGATTCACCTCTCTCTCAACTTTACGACTCCGATTTTTATGACGAGGATACTGGCATTTACAAACCCGAAGGTCTGAATCTCATACCAAGTTGTGCACGATATTTGAGGCTTATCGTGAAATCGCGGCCTTCGTAATCTCCAAATAAGCCAATGCGCGCTAGAATAAGCTTCTTCTCGGACGAAACGCATATTTGGGGTACATTGACGTCTTTCAAATGTTTTTTTTTTTTTATGCTGTACACCCACGAGTTTAGAGGTGTGAGCTGTTGCCGTCCCTGGCCAGCGCGAGAATTGAGACCTTTTTGGACACTCGATTTCTTATACGGCATCACTATGAAGACGTAATATAACTGATACACCTACATTACATAGGATTAACAATGTCTGTTGCACTGTTGCGAGAGGGAGGAAAACATTACCGGCAGTGTAAATTCTTTAAGAGTTTCAGAGACTTTTCAGAGATGTCTCTTCGGCTGTCACAAAAAATTGACCCTCTCTTAAATTTACTGGGAAAAATGAACTTACAAACTCCTTACAAACAATTTTGCTTTTTCCTTGGGCTGTTATAAAACAGATCATAAATTGACCAGTGAATAAAATATTTTGAAGTATCGTTCGGAATTTGCCTTTTTTTGCGTGCAAATCAAGGGTAGACAAAGTTTATAAAACATTTGACAAGAATTTCATGGGGTTCACCTCGATAATTTTCGTCGGCCAGAGTCAAGACACACCAAGCAAAGTGACATCGCCCTCCAGTAAAATAATTTTCCAAAGAATAAATGTGGCGAGCGTGGGGAAACGCACGTTTTTTTTCATTATTGTGATCAAAGCCCAATGATGTACCCAAATTGGTACTTACGGTATCAAACCATTGATTATGACAGGGTGAGCTTAATTTTTCTATCGAGGTCGACGTGACTTCACATTAGAAGCGTTTTTAAAACAAACTAGTGAGCATCACTGCACGAACTGAGGAAGTAAAAACTTGTATTTATCTCCCACGCATCTCGTCTAACAATAGTAGACTTCATCAAGGAGTTTTTACAAGTAGGGTAAATAAGCTTTCTCATATACAAATAGTAAATAAGTTGTCTCTCTACTATTGAAGCCAGTGGATATAACTCGCCAGGTGCGCTTACCGTGTTATACATGCGTGACATTTTTCGGACGTTACATGTACGAGTACGTAATCTGTTTGAGGGTCACAGATTTAGTGTAAATATTTGACCCCTCGACGTCACGTTATGTCTCTAGTTTACAGAGGTCTTAGAAAGCTTCATTACTTGGATTTGCCTTCCGCGCGTAGAGGGCTACACTCTACACAATCGCCTCCCATAATTTGCTTACCGTAGCGTAAATGCATAAGCCCAGCAAAAACTTAACACGCGAAAAAAATCACACCTCTTGATTTGTTAAATGCCGCCTCGGTTGATTGAGAACAAACATAAAGTCCTAACGTCCGCTTTCTACAAAGGGAATATTTGGGAAAACTGTTGATAGCTTTATAATTTTCATAAAGACTGTTTGAATCCGTCGTAAAACTATGTAAGTTCAAGCCAGACCTGCTTTTTTTTTCTCCGAAAGAGAATATAGAACAAACGAAAAACAAAAAATTCGTAACTTCTCCATTGTGAGACTTGTGAGTAAAATATCACACTCTCGTCTTGCCGCGCGTTTGACTGAAAACGAGAATAACTCAAAATAGATGTCCTCTCTAAAACTAGAGATAATTTCCTCGATCAGTACATCTTGTGTCATCAACATCGTTGCAAGAATTCTGTGCTTTTGTAAAACAGGAATCCTTTTCTTAGGTAGACTTGTTGGTTCCAGAAAGTAAGCGCTTCGTTAGAAAACAGCTGTGCGTCAGCGCCTGCCCTCTACGAAAATTTGGAGAAGCTGTTGACA